TATCCGAGCCTATTTCCGCGCCAAATGGAGGCCATTGTTTATATAACATAGCCACTGCAGTATGCCGTTGTAGTTTTGTCTAGCGTGTAAGTCTACGCAGTATAGTGTACGAGAAGTAACAGAATAAATCACACGAATTACGTTTCTGCATGTAATATCGGAGTTGTTTCTGCCACATCCACTCATCAAGAGACTTGATGCCGTGTTTGATCAACTGCTGTACCACATCAATGGAATGAATTGTGTCCAGGATCAGTGCTTTCAGCTTGAGCTCTAGGACATGCGATTCAGAGTCAGATGAACCTCCTCCACTGATCTCTGTGTTCGTGTACGATTCAAGCTGGGATTCCATCTCGATCTGGAATTCTTGGAGAGTGTTGCTTTTGATAGCAGCCTCGCAGCGGTCTGTAAATTGGATTTGTTCGGCAAGGCAAAGGATCTATACAGAGAACAGTAAATAATGATAATTCGTTATAAAATGCCTAAAAATCCCGCATTAGCAATTTAGCACATTACGCCTTATACGATGTAGTAGAAACTTATAAATAGAGAAAGTGCAAGTCCGGTATAAGCTTACTAAGAGGTAAAATCGTAACTTCTGACGAAACGGTTGTGCTGCGTCGACGTGCAAGTAAACGTAGCGAACTTAATTTACCTCAATACAATCACCTTTTCTTGATAGTGATAAACAAAAGACTATGATCTTAGTCTCCTGAGGTAAATTAATCACATTGGCAGATTTCTAAAGCTGACATGTCGAGCTGGTTTAGCCCTTTTGGTGCAGGTCCAAAGCTGGAAACGTCAGTTTTCAGAATTTGTTACGACGGGTAATCTACTTTTTCAGTCAAAAACACTGTTTATCAGCTCAACCGCTTTATAACTTCACCGGCGATTACCAAAACTCACTTTATTTAACGTTACTAGTACGCAAGTCTAAGTAGCTCAAAACATGACGATTTCATTTTCTAGTCGGTATTGAACAAGTCATAGGAAACCATCTGGTAATGAAAAATTCTACTTAACACAATAGAGAGGATCGCGGAATTGGATTTCTATAAGCACGTAGACAAACAGGTCTTCAACACGGTTCTTATATTAATTTAGAGTGCAACTTTCAGGCCAAGCAAACTGGTGAAAAAAGACAACTTCGTGCAACATTTCTGTTAGTAACAGGCGTGGAAGGCTTACCAACTACAATAAAAGTGAATCAAATTGAAATGACTACCTGTGAAGGAAACTTGGAGGGATCCACTCCGCCTCCAGATCCTCCTTTCTTACTCGCATTCAGACAATCAACCAGCAGTTGTTTCAGGGTGTCTTTCATTTCATTGGCAAGATCACCGAGCCAGACCTGTCAAATGTACAGTGAAAAGTGCAATGAGCTGTCACGTGCAAACTAAAGAGCATGTTCATTTCTTGAAGGAGTCTATTAGGCCATATTCGTATTCTCGGTATTGGACTGGAACTAGCTTGCAACTGAGGCTGATGCGGGAAGTCTTTTCAAATGTAAATGTCATTAATCTTTCCCGCATCAGCCTCCATTGCAAGCTAGTTCCAGTCTAATACCGAGAATACGAATATGGCCTATAAGAGGGTCAGGGAGGTTCAACTGCATTTACAACTCCGTTTTTGGGGGAAAAAAAGTTGAAAAAAATTGATTAAATGGAAGAAAGAGCACGAGATTTGAGCACAAATCTCTAGAAAGGTCAGCAGCTGTTTAGTGAGAAAGACTGAACGACAAAACCATCCACTTGAATGAAGTGTATGTAAAAAAAAAAACAGTTTTTGTCCGCCTTCTGATCGCATGTAAGGACTGTCACATGGTTGTTTATGTCTTGGAACCCTCTTTGGCTCAAAATTTCGCTCGAGACCGCGAAAATGCCACGAAATTTCGTGATTTAATTTTCGCTCCTGCGAAACTCCGCGAAAGTTTGAAGAAGCGGCTACCTCGAATTTCCGAATCGAATTTCGTCGAACTCTCATTTTGTACTTATTCACAGCCTTCCGTAAGTTCGAGGACAAAGCACGAAAGTCATCGAGCTTCGTTTGCATTACTGTCACACAACTACAGCAGTAACACTAACCTCCACCTCAGGTGTAATAGTCACCGGCCTCTTAAGAGGAACCACTTCTCCGTCCAGAGACTTCATAGCCACGATGGTCTTACATCCTTCATCAAAAGCAACGTTATGAATTCCAGCAAAGAGTTTCTTCAAGTGTGACTGGATCACCAGTGGATTGGTGGCTTGGCCAAGGATTTCCAGCAAGTCATCGTCACCGATAAAGTAGAACCGCGGGAAAAGGGCGCGCTTTTCCTGTTAAGTTGATAATTTTCAGTAGTATGTTTTGAACGCTCTTTAAATCTATGTCACTCCTTGATAATAATTCCAGTTCAATTGAATCCTTTGTTTTAAACTAGAACGAGTTTATGAATTAATTAATTTTTGAAAAATGAAGAACTACACTGAAAACGTTTTAGCAAGGGCCACACCATTGTTGGCAGAAACATTAAACAAGGGAGATAAATAGTGTCTCGACCTTTTCTGTTTTTCTTTCAGGGTATCTCTTAGATTTTGAAGGTGACTTCTGCTCAGGTTGTTGAAATGCCAGACAAAAACAACAGTTTCTTTTTAATTTTCCTCACGTTTGGTAGAAACACTTTCTTCCTTTGATGATTAATGAGCCAAAATGTGGAGAGGCGTTCCATATTATTTGTTTCTACACAACATAAAACAACCAAGTTAACGCAATAAGAAGTTTCAGAATTGCATACCATCTGAAACTTTTGACTACCTATAAGAGGATTTGACAAGGCTGGTACCTTTTCCACTGATTATCTTTATTGCAGGCTAATCAACAAGCAAAGAGGAGCATGTAGCACGGTCAGAACACCTACCTCCAAGAACTCGTTAAGAGATTTCTGACATCTCTGCAGCTGATCCAGAAGAGTCACTAGAGTATTCCTGATGCCTGACTGAGCAACAAGTGACAATAATCTGTTGTCATTGGTAACGTCCTGCATGATGGCCCTGTAAAGCAAACAATACACTTTGGATCTCACTTAGATTCTATCCCATTTGGAGGTAGTTTTGTATTACGAAATAATAAATAATAAATGAAAAATAGATAACTTTATTTGAGTGTCAAATGTATTTATCACAGTTGTGCTAAATAATTTAGGACACTGTAAATAAATAAACAAATATTTCAACAATTACACCATGTTAATCTAAAATTATCTCTTTAATTCTCACACTTTCACGCTTTGCTTCATTCTGTTGTTACTACTTATCACAATTAGCATTTTCTGCTCATTACAAATTCAGCTTCCATCGCTTTGCACTTGGATTAACCGAGGATGACAGAAGTTTCTGTCGAAACAAGTTTTACAAACTCAAACGTTTTGTCGCTTTCTTAAAATTCTTGACTTGTCTACTACTATCAAGACCCTTTAGAACATAAATTATTTAGAATCCCAACTGGTGGGAGGCTGACCAGTTGGCTATTTACAGAACGCGGTCGAGGAGTTGAACTCGGGACTACCGAGAACAAATCCAGATAGCGGTAGGGTGGAGAATTTGAACCAGGCACTTCAAGATTTCACCTCCAGCGCCCTACACCACTCGGCCACGCCGCCTCCCCGCACCTTAAATGAATCTATATACACGAACCACTTCAACGTTCCACAAAACAGAAACAAACCTGAAATCATCATCCACTCTTTTGAACCTTCCTTGCTCCCTGGGCAGAGCCCCTCGACCAAAGATGGGCTCCAGATAGACCCACTTTCTCTGGATTTGGTTCAGGTTGTGAAGGTACTCATCTAGATCAGCCAAACGAGTCTCCCATAGGGATGCCTTGTCTTCAAACCCTTTATAGTACGGGGAATCCTTCAATGACTGCAACAGGCATTGGTTATCGCCCACCTGGACAAGGAGCAAAGCAAAATATCATGTGGCGTAACTCTTGTAAGAAAATCTCTTCCTCGTGATCAAAATGAACTAAGGACAAAACAAGTGCTTCCTTCGATGAGCACAACTAAAACGACAAATCACAAGTTATGCATGTATGCGAAACAGTGTTTATTCAGAAATTTCAGTGAGTAAAGGTACACGTATTTCGTTTCACTGAAACATCAATAAAAAGGCAATTAGTAAAACAGTGACAGTGCAAAATATCTAGGTTTGTTTTTCTGTACCTGATTGACAAGATCTTTCCAGTCCTTGATGATAGATAACTCTTTGTTATGTGAATCCACGTATGACGTCAAAGAGAACACAGCACCTGCACCCCACAGCTCTAACTCTCTGAGAGCCTCCCTGATTGACACTTCACCTTGAGCACGACTGTTTAGTTCCTGTGAAACGATTTCTGAACCAGTTAGCATGCACATGACGATTCTCAGTGAATCTGATAATGGTTTTCCATCAGTATGATCTAAACCCTTTTGATGGACTGTGAATTCCGTACTTGCTCATTACAATCTGCCACACGTGTTCATTTGTTTCACTGGAGTTAATCTGAACTTTAATCAGTTAACATCGTTTAAATTACAACGTGAACTTATCAAACGATCCTTCCAGTTCCAAAGAAAGACTGTCTTGCAAAAACAAAAACCTTGCTATCTTCTTACTAATTGGAAAACAGAAAACAAATGTACATGAATTTAGCACAGTTTTCAAAGATGATTTCACGGAAATGAAAGAAAATTAGACGGTGTTAATTCTTTCAGGTTGTGGTGTAAGATGTATAAGACTACAAATTTGTTAAATGTTACTCTCTGGATTTTGGTTGCTTTCGATTTGCATAAAAAACCTCCTAGTTGGTACAGTATTACAGGTTCTGAGGCCTATTCATGGGTCAAGTTATTCTCTAGGTTTTGAACTGGGCTTAGCCTAACCTTAAGAGCATCCGCATGCGCAATGATCTGATCGGCACTCTCCATCACATCGCCAAACGTCAGCTTCTCCAAGATGGTGCCTCTGGGCATTTTCAGAAGCCTGAAGAGTTCCAGCCAGTGGTCTGGAGACAAAGCTTCCCCACGAACATACTTCAAAAGCGGAACAATATTCTAAAACAGCAGGGAAGAAAAACAACAACTTAGCTCTACGAGTACGAAGTACATAACACAAGTCATACTATAACAAGCCTTGACGAGTACAGCCAATGAAAACGCTGGTAAGCTGTAGCATATTAAGCAGAATTTCACGGGTCGTATTTCATTTTGTTTTTTGCCTGCACTTTTCCAAACGAGTTGGCGAAAAGAATCAGAGGTCTGACTTTCAAACACAATGCATTTAGGATGTGGTCGAGCCAATCTCGGATCGTCTTAGAAATCTTCAGCATGGTTTGTGAATAATTGGTAATCTTCGGAAATATTCACCGAGAAGCGATCAAATCACCTTTGGATAATATTGGAAAATCTTCGCAAAGAAGAAGGAAATCTTCGGAAATAGTTGGGAAATCTTCGGATAATGTTCTCTTGCCGTTGCAAATCATCTGAAACAGGCACGTATCAGACGACAGCCCTGTAACTGACGTTATGAGGTGAAGCATCGTATAAATGGAGACTGATTTTACCTTGTACTTATCCACGTCTTTCTGTAGTCTCACGGTCATGCTGGTTGGCTCCTTTGCTCGGAGTTTTTCTGACCAGGCTGTCAAGAAGTCATCAAAGCGATAGAGATGGCCTCTGCGATGAGGTAAAGCAACAATGATTAGAAATGCTATTAATACAGTAGTCTGAACTCTGATCCGACGTGATTGATTTAGAACACTGTTCATGGGGCAAAGAAAATCGTTTAATACGTAACATCTGCAACATTTCAAGTTCAGTGGCATGGCATACATACTACATGTCTTTCTAATTCTTTAGCGAAGTTTTAACTCTATAAGCAAATTTATAGTTAAAGTGATAGAGAACCGGCAGAAAGTAGCAACCTCGTCCTGTAGGTTGAAGCTTTTGCACAAGGAAACACACTGTACAAAATTGATTTACACAATTAACCATATCCGTATTCTCATTATTGTACTTTAGCTAGTTTGTCACTGAAGCTAATGCGGCATTCTTTTCAAATGCAAATGACATTAAACTCTTTTCAATGATATTCCCCGCATGAGCCTCCATTCCAAGCTAGTTCCAGTCCAATACCGAGAATACGAGTATGGCCTATCACCCATTCCTGCTTGAAAGAGGNAAAACTCTTCCTTATGACCAAAATTAACTAAGGACAAAACAAGTGCTTCCTTCGATGAGCACTACGAACACGACAAATCAACAGTTATGCATGAATGTGAAACAGTGATTATTCAGAAATTTCAGTTAGCAAAGGTACACGCATGTTTGAAACATCAATAAAAAGGCAATTAGTTAAAGTAAAACTATGCATAGTGACAGTGCAAAATATGTAGGTTTGTTTTTCTGTACCTGATTGACAAGATCTTTCCAGTCCTTGATGATGGATAACTCTTTGTTATGTGAATCCACGTATGACGTCAGAGAGAACACAGCACCTGCGCCCCACAACTCTAACTCTCTGAGAGCCTCCCTGATTGACACTTCGCCTTGAGCTCGACTGTTTAGCTCCTGTGAAAAGATTTCGGAAACAGTTAGCATGTACACGACGATTCTCAGTGATTCTGATATTGGTTTTCCATTTTTATGATCTAACACCTTTGGTGGACTTAGAATTCTGTATTTGCCGATTACAATCTGCCACATGTGTTCATTTGTTACACTGGAGTAAATTTGAACTTTTACTCAGTTTAAAACATCGTCTAAATTATTACGTGAACTGATCAAACGGCCCCTCCAATTCCAAAGAAAGACTAAGTCCTGTAAAAGAACCTTGCTTTCTTGTTACTAATTTGAAAACTGAAGAAAACAAATGGACATGAATTTGGTTCAGTTTTCAAAGATGAGCTCACGGAAATGAAAGAAAACTAGACGGTGTTATTTCTTTCAGGTTGTGGTGTAAGATATATGAAACTAGAAAAGTTTTTAGATGTTACTCTGGATTTTGCTACTTTTTATTTGCATAAAAAACCTCCTAGTTGGTACAGTATTACAGGTTCTGAGGCTTATTAGGGGATCAAGTTATTCCTTAGATTTTGGACTGGGTTAGCCTAACCTTCAGCGCATCCGCATGTGCAATGATCTGATCAGCACTCTCCATCACATCTCCAAACGTCAGTTTCTCCAGGATGGTGCCTCGGGGCATCTTCAGAAGCCTGAAGAGTTCCAGCCAGTGGTCTGGAGACAACGCTTCCCCACGAACATACTTCAAAAGCGGAACAATGTTCTAAAACAGCAGGGAAGAAAAACAACAACTTAATTCTACGAATACGAAGTATATGACACAAGTCTTATCCTATAACAGGCCTTGACGAGTACAGCCAATGAAAACGCTGGTAAGTTGTACATAGCATATTAGGCAGAATTTCACGGGTCGTACTTCATTTTGTTTTTTTTGCCTGCATTTTTCCAAACGAGTCGGCAAAAAGAATCAGAGGTTTGACGTTCAAACACAATGCATTTAGGATGTGGTCGAGGCAATCTCGGATCGTCTTAGAAGTCTTCAGCATGGTTTGTGAATAATTGTTAATCTTCGGAAATATTCACCGAGAAGCGATCAAATCACCTTTGGATAATATTGGAAAATCTTCGCAAAGAAGAAGGAAATCTTCGGAAATAGTTGGGAAATCTTCGGATAATGTTCTCTTGCCGTTGCAAATCATCTGAAACAGGCACGTATCAGACGACAGCCCTGTAACTGACGTTATGAGGTGAAGCATCGTATAAATGGAGACTGATTTTACCTTGTACTTATCCACGTCTTTCTGTAGTCTCACGGTCATGCTGGTTGGCTCCTTTGCTCGGAGTTTTTCTGACCAGGCTGTCAAGAAGTCATCAAAGCGATAGAGATGGCCTCTGCGATGAGGTAAAGCAACAATGATTAGAAATGCTATTAATACAGTAGTCTGAACTCTGATCCGACGTGATTGATTTAGAACACTGTTCATGGGGCAAAGAAAATCGTTTAATACGTAACATCTGCAACATTTCAAGTTCAGTGGCATGGCATACATACTACATGTCTTTCTAATTCTTTAGCGAAGTTTTAACTCTATAAGCAAATTTATAGTTAAAGTGATAGAGAACCGGCAGAAAGTAGCAACCTCGTCCTGTAGGTTGAAGCTTTTGCACAAGGAAACACACTGTACAAAATTGATTTACACAATTAACCATATTCGTATTCTCATTATTGTACTTTAGCTAGTTTGTCACTGAAGCTAATGCGGCATTCTTTTCAAATGCAAATGACATTAAACTCTTTTCAATGATATTCCCCGCATGAGCCTCCATTCCAAGCTAGTTCCAGTCCAATACCGAGAATACGAGTATGGCCTATCACCCATTCCTGCTTGAAAGAGGAAAAAACAAAAAACAGAGAGGTTTGGCGACATGGCTGGCCTTGATTTCCTTGAGGAACATAAATTAAGTGAAGATCATGTCTAGACAAAAGACGCTTTGAAAGATTCCTAGCGACACAATATACCTGAATGATATCCAGTCCTCCTTCGCCAGCTCATCCAGTCCATTGCTGAACTCTTCGTACAGTCCCCACATTATTTCATGATTAGAGATGTCCGCTTTAAGTTCTTCAGCTGATGTGAACTGTGGTTCGGCAACACCAAAATGTTGGCATTCAAAGCTGATGGGAAAAAGGTTACTTGTTTGGTGAACTTCTCAGGCTACATGGTTATAACGATTTAGGAAAAATATCGCAGGAGACTAACACATGGATAATTAATACAGTATTATTAAGGATGGGTGTTCCAGTGGCTTCAGGATTCACTTATATTAGGAGCTACATCACAGTTAGCGCAATCTTGAAAAGTGAAGGCGAAATTTTTCAAGTTCGTCATTTGCAATCCGTGTTGATCTGCTCCATCTTAAACCATCCTTTTTCCTTTATGGTTTATTATTATCTCTTTGGTGTTTTTCTATTATAGTAAGCTACTATTTTCAAGTTTCCTTCGATGTAAAGCAATTTTGTACGTGGCGAAAATAACTCACAATATCGTGAAGCTAAAACTGATGCTGAATTTGGCCCTACTAACGCTTGGCTGCGTTCAGTAATGATAGGCTAAGGTGTATATCAACTAAGCAAACTTAAGGAGGGGTTTTAATTAACAGTGACTTTTTTAATCAATGAGGATGGCAACCTAGGCTCTCAACCGATGTGGCAGAGTTAGAAAACAAAATACTTAATGACAGCCAATGCGACTACAAAGAGTTCGCTGTCGGCCGTGCCCGGTAAAGACTGTCAACCAGCTTTCTTACATAAGCTTCTTCATATTTTCCTCCAGTTCAGCAAACTCTGCTCTCCTTTCATTGATGGAATTGACTGCTGCGAGGCACGACTGTTTATCGTTGTACTCATCTATGTCACGAGGCTTCAGCTGGTGCCATCGAGCACTAAATTTATCAAGCTCCTGTTGGAAGGCCTGTACTCTTGATTCTACATTGCTCTTCATCACTTCAACCTGTCAAAAGCATTGACGCACGTTTATTAGCAACAATATCGAATGGCCCCTAAAAATACTACTGCAGATCTACACAATCAACCCTGTGAATAAAACAGTCATGACTTTCTTTGCTGTAAAACATTATTTCCTAGATTTACAACTTACAGACCGCCAACCTCTTTCCTGGAACAGACCAACGACTATTCTACTGGCCTTGTAACTACAAATTGTATGCATCGACCAATGCACTGAAATTCTACCACATCTATGGCATAGATCATAATCTATTCTTACTCAAACATTTTGCACACGGCCTGTAAGACTGCAGACCTAGTGATTCACTCAAACTGGGGTAGAACAATGTGCTCTTGTGACTCAGAAACAGGCAACTTTTTAGGCTTTTACCGACGACAAATTGTCCGTTAAGAATAGAGGTACCCAAACCAAGAACTACAGCGTGTGAACACCTCATGCCATTCAGATTAAGATTCAATCTTGTTTGGCCCGGGGCTTTACCCACCTGTTCTTTAACCATCAGTTCATGACTCTCCATCATCATTTCAAACTTGTCCCATCTCGCCTGCAGCTGACCGATCTGTTCAACGCCTCCACCAGCAACTGAACGCAACAGCTTGTTCTTAGACTCAGCTTTGTCAAACAGTGGGTGAACCTGTAAATAGCAACATGGGTTATAAACAGTTTTTTTTTCCTCAGGCAAAAGGCACAGCATACCTTGAAACAGTTGGAAAGGAAAGCTTCTAACAAACGGAATCGATGCTCTTCACTTCGAGGAAAGCTTAATATAAGATACGACTACAGCAAATGAGCTCAGATGGTGAATAACTAGTTTTGTCATATTAGAGCTGACAATAACTCTTACCCAATCATATTAACTATATATGTTTAGTTGCATTACATACACAAGTAAAACAAGTGTAGAAAAGAGACATTTATGGTTTCACATGGGAATGATCAGTTTACTTTTACAATTTTACGCTATGTCTGACTCAGGATTGTCTGACTGCAAGCCAGCTGTGTCATGCTTAACAGGTAACTGTTATGAGGTTAAGTAAGGAGTTTTTCACATAGCTAGACACAATCACATGCCTGTAATTTCTCTGTTGCAAGCTCGGCATGCTTAGCATTTGCCTCTCCTATCTCTTCCACGCTCTGTGGCCTGGTGGAGAGAGCGTCGGAGGCAGACGTCAGGAAGGTGTCAATAGTCTGCACTTCATTTGTAATGGAGCGTCGCAAGGAGGTCAACAGAGCATCAAACAACTGCTGAATATGATCATCAATTGTTGACTTCACAGGCGAAGTTGAAACACTGATGCAGTCAACCTTGATGTTACTGTCAGAAAAAATAATAAAATCAGCAAAAATTACTGCGCATATTTTGTAATTAATTATTTTTGTGACCAAAGAAATAGGCCATTTTCGCATTCTCGGTATTGGACTGGAACATATCATTAAGCAGAGATCAATACCATTTGCATTTGAAAAGACTCTCTGTATTAGCCTCAGTTGCAAGCTAGTTCCAGTCCACGCCGGCTTTGCGTTTATATTTAATATAACGAAGCTTTTTGGAAAACGATGTCGTTAAGATAGCCATGTGATTTCCCTGACCGAGTCTTCCTCATATATAAATTCAAAATGACTTGTGACTGTTCCGTTTTCAAATTTCCCCGGCGTAGTGCGTACTGCGGACGGGGCTTACGTTTTGTTGTCTATTAAGTTGATTGAGTGGGTAAAATCCAACAATAGTGAAAGAAAAAAATAGCCCTCTTACAGACAGGTTTCAAATTTTCTTTTTAAACAGAAGAACCATGAAGGAAAGAATTCTACCTGACATTCTTGAGGCTTAAAAAAGTACCAATCAGCAATCAATAATCTACGACTAAACAGCCCTTGCTGTAAACACAAACTCTGTTACTTATAGAACAATAAGCCAAATAACCCAACGAAACAATGATATTGCAATTTGTCAGTAGTTGTGCAATCATAATCAAAAGAAATTCGACCTACAGAGGTAATTTTTCAGCTTCCCTTCCTTTAGCCTTCAATGCTTTGAAGTTTCTCTCCCAGTCTGGGACATTTTGCAAGTGAGTCTCGATAACTTTCTCCAGATCCACCGTCCCCAACACCACCCAGTCCTTAAACTGATCCTGTACTTCCACAAGGCGTTTGAAGAGATCCTCCGCTTTCTTGTACACTGTTGTAAATCCTGCGGAATTTTGATCGATCATGATTGGGTAGATGCTGTTGTCTTCACCAACTCCACGAAAATGATTTGGAATGGAAATAAACTTTCTCATTTCTCTGTAGTACTTGGCGCGGATCTCTTCCAATGGAGGACGGAACTGCAGCTTCTGCTGCCTATAGAAACATAAGAAGACAATTTCCTTTAGCTCAAATCATTTCCTTCTCTTCACGCACTGCTACGTCTTTCTTAGAACTGTGCAAGTTCTTTTCGGCCTTGTTTTATTCGAAACATAACCGAATGAAACAATGTGACCTAAGCATGTTGGGTTACATTGTAGTTGGGTTGGCTGAGATTTTTCCTACTGTAGTAGACTAGGAAACGCTCAAGCTGACTACATTTTGTCATCGATAAAAATAAAAAAAGACCGATTTCCGATAGAGTATGCACGAACTTCAAACTTCGTTGTTTCTAGACGGCAGGTAATTAAATCTTATATTACTGTACCTGAAGACCAGTTCAACTTTAATCTCTGGCAGATTCTCATTGAGGGCTTCCAGTCCCATCTGATACTGATGTTCCAACGCCTTGTAAAGCTGACGGTCCCAGTGCATCTTCCAGGTCTTCATGTTGTCGGCTTTAAACCCCTTTTAACAGAGATGTAGGGTGGAGTTAATGCACATTAGATAAAAAGAACATTCATGTATGATCAAATAACAGCAGTCTTGGGAACATGTTCAGTACAAGTGCAAAAACACCGTAATTGTACAAGAGGCGCAAACTTGTCTGCTGAGGTCTGTTACATGACATGTCTCTAGGGTCTGTGTACGGCCGTGACCCCCCAAGTAAATAGCCATTGGTATCCCCTCGTGGGTGGTGTCTGTTAGTACATGTAAATGATTGACACACTGTATAGTTTCTGGTTCTCCACAGTCACACTTGCCCATTGAAAACTGCCATGGTGAGTTGGGTTCCCTCGTTAAACATTAATAATATTAGTCCCTGACGGTCAATCGAGACTGTTGATTTGAACTTCCAGCCTACATGGGGATGTTTTGGCACATGACTTGGTCCATCCAAGCTCACTTGGCAAAGAGATTTCTGCTATATTCACTTAAGAAAGATCCTGTGACGGCTTCAAAAGCTTGTGATAACTAAAATCATTGACTGTGCTTCAGTACCTCATTTCTTGTTGTGTCTACTACAAAGTCGGGAAACAATATCTTTACTTGATTATTATCATTAGCACAGGTCCTGCACAGGCTTAGCACATGATGGCATCCTGACTGCCTTACCTTGCCAAACAGTCAGACCAAGCATGGACTTATAATTATATGAGCCAATATTCAGCCACCAAGGGTTGCATGGCTGAAGTGATCGTGCGTGCCTTTGGATTCAAAATAGATGCCGTCTTCTTGATGTACCCAGAAATGGGTCANTTCCAGTGGAGTCTCTACCACGTGAAAGAATTGAACTTTCTCCGTAAATTAAAGAGGCCCTATCAGGGGGTGGGGAGCGGGGGGAAGGGGTCTGAGTATCCCACATCTTGTTAATTTTTGGCCTAAATATCCTGTATTCCGTTCATTCCAATTGCGAAAATTAACGATTTTCCTACTTTACATCCCATTTTGTCTAAATATCCCATGTCTCATTTCTTACCTGAATATCACATATCCCGAAAACCCCTAATACTGGCAAACAAACTGCTACCAGCAACCTGACAAAATGTAGCTGAGAAACAAACCCAAGTTGTAAAGTTACATTTACTTTGAATTGCATAGCAATGGCATTATGGAAACCAACTATTGCAGCTTCGGTCTTCAGAGCCCTTGTGGCTGATCACCCAGTAAAACCACTTACAAAAGAATGTACCTGCTGAGTAAGAGAAGTCATCATCTCCCTCAGAGACACAAGAGCTTCTTTCCAACGAGGTTGCTGTCTTAGCAGATCAACACTCATTAGGTTCACAACCTGTGACGAGGAAAAGAACACATACATGTAATTATGCACTGTGAATTCACCACCATCGACAACATCAACATCCCAAACGTACATGTAAATGTATAATGTACATCAAGTGTTGCATGTATACTAAAGGTAGCATATGTGTCGACTTCTTTCCACGTTCACCAGTCCTTACAAAATGTTTTGTTTTAGTATAAATTTACTAGGGCATTCTATCACAAATGCCGTTCTCTGATTGGCTATGCCACTCACAATCCATTTTGTTGTAGATAGTGAATAGCCTAGCAGTGTGTGCTTGTTAACAAATTGGCAGCAGCTTCTTTACGTTTTCAGTGTCTGTGAAGATAAAGTTTTGAATGACTAGTAGATTTATACAATGTACTACGTATAAGATAATTAGATTATTCCTCTTGGTTTCTATCTGTGTAGTCAAAAAGGGTGCAGCCCAAGTTACACATAACTATCATACATATAGAAATCGACAGGGAAAAATCTGATTGTTGAATAGAAGTAGTAGTAGGCAGCAAGGGTCAGGATCCCTTGCCTGTAAGAGATGTACAGTGTAAGCATCAGGTAATCAACTGTAGGTGGCAAAATCACTGGCTACCTGCACTAGCCTCTGTTATCTAACAAGTATCGTACTTTGTCACTGATGTTATAGTGGCACTTGCGTAACCTCCTGTTCTCTGACGTAAGCTTGTCAGCTGCAGCCTGCAGTTTGTCAATGTAGGCTTCCAGTTCAAGAGGGTTGTCCCATGTCACCTGAGTCTTTCCCCCACTCTCTTTGGATCCAGTCTTGGGGTTCTTCACTAGACGTTCAAAGCCAAGTGCAGAGTCTAACATCATGGACTGCTGACTTGGAATCATCTGCTGGTCAATTGTGTTGTAGAAATGTGCAACCTGCAAAAGCAAGCGAGACATTGAGAACTTGAAAATCATAGTTATGTACACTACTTTCCAGAGATTGACAATTTTAAGGAAACCATTGGATTTTCACGCCCAATTTCCAAAACAACAAGGGCCAAAGGCACAAGGTTCTAAAGGGGTCCAGGGGCATACTCTCCCAGGAAATGTTTATTTGGTTTTTAACTCCCAGGAGTCGTCTTTTGGGAGTTTTTGAGTCATTCTAAAACATCTGACCAATTTATGTTAAACAGTGGAAACCAGTATGGATCAATTCCTTTATTTAAGTGCCAGTCAAGAATGCATACATGTATATTGTGGCTGAGGGCCTCTTCTAATTGGGGACACTTATAATTGGGGACCCATTGAAATCATAAATTAAAACAATGTTGCACTTCACCTGTTTCAAGATCATTCCATGTCTGTAGAATTTGCTTGCTGTACTTGCTGTCTGCTGTATCTTGGCAGGAACAGCAAATCCCAGAGCTGAAAGCTGTCTGACTTCCCTCATGAGTGTTACAAGCCTGTCTCCATAGTGGACTCTTAACTTGCCATCCCTTTGGTCCAGATCCATCAAGCGGCCACTGGTCTGCAAGCTTCAAGGAAACATGAGAAATTTCTGAAATCAGTGGTCTTTGGATGCATTTGAGGCATTCAACAGAAGTCGACCCAGAGGCAGAGAGGCTGGGCAACTTGTATTGGCTTCAGGAAAAATTTTTAAAATGCAGAACTAATAAATTGTACAATCTACACAGTTAGATGTAGCTAAGTGCATTACTGACCTGTATAATTACATGTACATTCGTCTAATCATACTGTAGGTACATACCGTACATGTACATGTATGGATGTTAGGGGTGTAACGATTCAGATTCCTTGCAATTCAATTCAATTTCGATTTTTGCCTTTTGATTTTGATTACCTGTATTTCAATTTGATTATTCTTACAATATTAGATACACAATGTAAACAACATACAACCCTAAACCCTCAATTTGAGGATGTAATACTGACAATGAAAATGAGCATGTCGCACATGGTTTGCCTTATTTGGAAATTCTCATTTTTACCAAGCAACACAAAATGGCACACGAACTGCAAACGTCTTTGCTCGTCAATCAAAAATGCACATTTTAAAGAGTTCTGGATTCTGATTTCACAATATACGGTACATGTAATAACTCACTGAGGGCACCCTGCGAAAGGTATGCAAAAAAATTGAACCAAAATCGAAACATGGAATCAAAGATTCAATAGAGAATTTGATTAAACATTACAATACTAATGGATGTAGATCTTGAATTATGCGTAACACTGTTTGAAGAACATTTACAATAAGTCTGTTTAAAGAGTGATGATTTACCTGAGAGGCTGTTTAGGATCATCAATAGCCGTCATCATTTCACTGACCCAGCTCTCAAACTGGTCTTTACAGTAAGATCGTAACTCTTCAATCAGCTCTGAAGCTTCTCTCTTGAACCCTTTGAAACCTGCCAGGTCTCCCAAGAGGCTCTCTGCAGTTCTAAGAGTTTCTTTTACCTATGATTTCAAGTTGCATGTCCATGATTGAAATGTGTAACACTGTTAAATGTTAATTCATTACAAAGAGCATATACTGTATACATGTACCTGAAACCAGTAATATATCAGAAAAAAGGCAGTAAAAGGTTATAACTACACATACCTTAGAATCCAGTTGTCTGACCCAAACAATGTTGTTCACAATCTCAGGCATGTTCTGTCCCTGAGGAGGGCCACTTCCATCTTTATTACCTGAATAGGAATTCTGAGTCCTGGAAATGAAGTCATCTCGGATACTCTTTACATAAACTGTCAACTGACCAAGCAAGGTCTCCCTAAAAAGAAATGAATATTAAGGAATTGGTGCCTGCTAAGCACAAAGGTATTTTGCATGAATTAGGACTTCATGTAATTAGAAAAAAGAAGATCCCAACAAGGGTTATTAGCTGCTATAATTGTAATCCGCAAATACTGCAAACCTGGTACCTCCTTTCATCCAGGGTATATTGGGGACCAGTGAATTAAATGCTGGGGGACAACCTGGCAAGGAACCAGTTTGTATTCCATCCAGAGACGAGAAGAAATACTCCAAGTTGCCTTGTGCCAAGAAAATACCAGAGATACAGGTGTTAAGTGCCACCCAGAAGTTATGTAACAGGGAACACTTGTCAAAACTTGTTCCATTGCCATGTCGTATGCACTCTGGTACCCAGTCTCTATCTGTTCAATATTTGTTCTATATCCGTTCTGTATCTGTTATGTACATGTACCCTTTTGCCAACGTGTTCCCTGTCAGATTACATTACCTGTGAGTGGTACTGTAAGTACAGCTGTAGTGGTCTGATGGGCCCCCAGACCTTATGTAGGCTCACACTTACCCGTACAACAACAAACAAAAACTTATTCACCTTTCAGGAGCCAGCTCTTTGCGTATGCTTGGCCTTTTGACAAGTTCTTTATATCTTTGAAATTCTCTCAAAAGCTAGAAAGAAAACAGACACAACTCGTTTTGGCAAAAAATTGAATTTTCAATATAATTTGAGAGCTTGCTGGAGGGCACAGTGACCTACAATGTACTGGAAGCAGAGTGGATTTTCAAGGATTTTCAAATTTTCAAGGCAGGTAGGGGAAGCTGCATGTAATTTTATTTTCTATTGCTGAATATAATCATCCTCAGTGTTACAATTTACTTGTGGAACACCCAGGATTGCCTATTGGGAATAGGGTACTACATGTACTAATATAATTTACATTCATATGTAGATAAAAGCTTTAATTTATTACCTGATGTGATTTCATTGCAGACAAGTCACTGAGCTGTTGTCGAAGTTTTCCAGCTATTTTCTGTTCAGCTGGAGCCATTCCTCTCTCATACTGCGTCACAGCTGCTCTCCACTGAGGTTCAGTGTAGGGGTTGTGATGTAGTGGATTTAGTCCAGAGAAAGGAGCAAAGGCTTCTGAAGTTCGTAGTTGCTGTCTCTCTGAAGTGGACAGCAAGCGAACCAGTTGTTCATGGACTGTTCTCAAAGTCAGGACCTAAAAGAAACAATATAATGAAATTTGTTAGGACAGTGGCAACTTTTTAGAATTGTGCATGTTTATGCACTGTACGCTATATATAGTACCGCTCAAAAAAGTTACCACCCTGTTGCAAGACGACACTTTCCTATTGCAAGACAGCATTCTCATCTTGAAATGAAGCAAGAGGTGGCAACTTGCTTTTGAGCAGTATGGCACAGTTGTGAAATGTTTAGAATAAAAATGATAATTATTTAAACAATAAAAAGAATACTCTAGACTTCCCACTAACTATTTTCCACAACTATTTAAAATAAAGCGTCTATAATTATTAATAAATCATTGTTTGACAAGTGAACCTTTTTTCATGTAATTTTTTTCCATTTTTTTCAGTTGCTCCACATGAGCAATGTTTAGCATGTAACAACAGTATTGTCCACAGTTTTTTACACCTTACAAACAAAAAAGTGGTTGCATTAATATAATTTTAAAATAATTAGTTGTCAAGTAAGATGAACTGACAACCAATCAGATTTAAGCATTCTACAAGTACTAATGATGTTTAATCAATGTTTTCTCTTTCAAATACAGTTTAATAGGTTTGTATTTTAGAACTGCATAAGAAGTTTTCAAGAAGTCCTAAGATTCTACTTAAAACCAATCATTTTAATTTAAATACAATGTAGGATGCCATTTGCATTTAAATTATGATAAGAATACAGTAGATCTATTGCATGTAGAGTTACAGTAGCTTACCTCCTCAAGCCTTGCAGCAAGTTGTGACAAGTTTTCAGGAACAAATTTCTCTCCCCTCCAGGGATGCGGGAGGAACCTCTTCCAGTACTGCGAGGTAAGTGTCTCACCACAGGTCAACACCCATCTCTCACACACAGTTATACCCTTGCACATCGCATCCTTAACTTGCTGGAATGAGTCAAGCCAGATGTCAAGCATACCAAGCTTCCGTTGGACATAACGACCCAAAGCGCCAGCCATAACATCTAAAAGGTGTTTCATGCGTGCCTCGGGATATGGCTTATGATCCTCTTGTTTCCAGATCTCGTCAAGAGAATCTTGAGTAGACTCCAGAAGTTCCAGGACATCGTCAAGATCCAGTGCATCAAGATTAGAAAAATCTTGAGATACATTTCCTGCAAATAAAGTCTCTTCAGTAAAAAAA